AAAAAAAAAAAAAAAAAGTTACAACAATGCCTAATGCAATAAAAGATCATACACGGCACAAAATCACTGATGAAGCACCAAACCAAGGTTAAAGTAGGCTGTAGTTATTCCCGTTTCAGAGATGAAGGAAAACAGGCAGCAAGGAGCCAAGTGATCCAAGGGTAGGACAGGCTGCAGAGAAAGTCTTCAGGGCTCTCTTTGTTAATTCTGTGCACATGCTCCCTCAGTAGGGAGATTTAGCATGGATAATTGAAAACCATCGATAATTCCAAACCGCCACTTAAACCGTTAACTTTGACAGTCTCTCCCACCTATCGCCAGAACTAATAATAGCCCACACACAGGGTTTTACTCATCTCTGCTCCATCTACGAAATAACTGGCTGATATCCTAGAACGTCTCAACTCTCCCCATATCCTTGACTTCTAATTCCCGGCCCTGAAAAGCCCCCAATGCCTACTCCTTCCAATCTTATTTTTTGGTTTCCAAGAACTACTGGAAAACCACAAACTAGGCTGATTAGAATCAATGAAAATTCCTAACATTGGGCCTCTTCTTTGGTTCACCTTTTCTTGGTTACCCTCAACACTTCCCACATGCGCTGTCCCAAACCTCTGCTCTCTTTTAGCACCAAATCCTTCTCATCCTTTTTACTCTACAGGTGATTTTACCTAATCCTGTACAAAGAAGTCTTCTGTTGGACGCTCCTCAAAATCACCCCCCTTCACCTAACAAACTTCTTGCAGCTTGGCTCACTCTATTTTCCTTCTCTCTGCACCTGAGGAAGAGCACACGATCACCACCATCCCAACACCTCCCATAGCTCCTCCCAGATACCCCTTCCCACCTCCAGCAGTTATACCTCAACTTATCTTCCTGATGCGGCTTCCTCCTTCACCACTCCACTGAAATTGTTTTCTAAAGTCACCAATGACCTTCTAATTATCAAAAACACTTGGCTCCAATCTTAGACCCAGATTTCAAACCATCCACCTGATACTGCCACCTAGAATACAGACCTGCCCTTCAACCCAATATTCAAAACCAAACAACTTGCTACACTCCCCATCTGATCTGCCTATTTCTGGCTCTGGCATCACCCTTCCCAGAAGTCTGACCAGAAAAACCACAGTATTGTCTGACTCTTTATTCTCCCTGATAACCAATATCTACTCAGAGCTCAAGGCCTACAGATTTGGCCTCCAAAATGCCATGTACACTAGTCCCACCTTCCATCCTCAGTGCCAATCCTTTCTTCAAGCCCTCACTACACATCCCAGACATCACAAATCCTCTCTGAGCTTCAGTTTGCATCCATAAAAACTAAGAATAACAATACCTGTTCTATCTACCTCCAGAGTTGTTTTATGGGTTAAATGATATCATAGGTGTGAGGATGTTTTGTAAACAATCAAATGTCCTACAAAAGAAGAGATCACCACCTCACCACTGTACCTGGTCACCCTGTGTTCCAATCCATCCTATGCACCACTCTCAGATTAATCTTCCTGAAGAACGATTTTAAACCAGTTGCTTTCCCTGCTCAAAACGTTCACAAATTCCATACTGCTCACCAAAGTCAACACAAGTTACTCAAAACAAATCACAATGACACCAGCCTGTCTTGTCAACAGGCTTCTGCGCTCCCTGAGAAGGGAGCAAAGCTCAAGCCAAATGGGACTGGCTCTAAGCCAGCTGAGCTCCTTGGAAGAAAAGACTGTCTAGACCAACTCACCTCTATCCGTAGCAACGCTAAGGACAGTACCTGGCACCTAAGTGTGCAATATTCAATAAATATCGCCTTAACTGAGATGGCAAAAAAGTGAGGGAAGAGGAGAAAGAAGAGGGGGTCATTTAAAGCCCAAAGCAGTAATCTACGAATATTTGTAAGCTGGCAGTGGGTGCAAATTTACAACCCTGCCTTGTCTTACTGTCCACAGTCTGAAGTACACAATACAGGAACAGGGGCTAAATGGTGGCTACAGAGTTATTTTGACTGAATTATTCCAAGTAGGCTTCAGGAAGGTTGCTTTAGTAACCTGCAAGGCAAATTTGCCAATATCTAGTTTCTTTCCCAAAGGGCATTCTGTTTCTTTCAGGGTGTACTATTCCTTTCCAAAGCCAACTCACTGGCTAAATCTGTTTATTGAGCTCGCTGGTGAGAGAAACACTCCCTGCAAAATGAACAAAGTCAAAATCTAATGATCTGACCAGTAGTACTTCAAGTACCAGAGGCAAAAAAATCACTTGGGAAATGTGGAGAAAAGGTAGGGCTTAATGAGACATGCGTAACAGAAACATGGTAGGCGTCAGGCAGTGGTCGAGTTATTTTAAGCTAAAGTCAACAAAGCAAATTAAGACGTGGCATTAATTTGGACACCCCATGATGTGACTGTCCTATCAGCTAGGAAGCCCGCAGAATCTGAAATGACTAAGCTAATGGTGATAGGATAAGAAAAGACAAGAAATCCGGGTTTTAGTCCCAGCTTTCATAAGTTGCCTCAGGGTTTTGGACAAAACTTCCTGTTTTCTGCAAAACGGGAAAATATCGGTCCTGCTTTTATCAGAGGAACTGTGATAATAAAATGAGACGAAGTGTTTGAAGGCATATTTCAGATGTTAAGAGCTGGGCCTCTCAAATCACACAAGTCATGAAATGAGACATATGTGTTTGACTGACATAAACACCCCACAAATGTTAACTATTCCTATTATGTCCCTATTATCACATAGCTAATAAGAAGTGGAGGTAAGACTGAAACTCTAAAGTTTGTGTTCTATATACTACAAAGTCCAGTGGGCCATGAAAAAACATCACATAAGCCTGCAGCTCTCATCCCTGTTCATGTTGGGGCAGGAGGCAGGGAGGGCATGTTTGCAGGTTTGGAAATGAACATCAGTCCGGCAAAGAAGACAACACTCAGCGAAAATAATTAAATGGAGATAGTTTCAAACGGGGAATGGGAAGAGAGAAGATTAAAAACTTTAACCTATATGCCCAACTGAATTCCTTTCCTCTTAAAAGGATGTAACTGCAATCTACCCTGAAATGAGATCATGTGAGCTTAAGTGGGTGACCAAATCACCAGACAGGTGGGAGCACAGGGTGTGGACGTCGGGGGAGTAGGTCACGCATTCGAAATTTAATTTTAAAAAGTATTCGAACCTTCTAGAAAAAAATACAATCTTTTCCACAATGAAATATGTCCTTTGGCATCAGCAGAATGGTCAATCAATATCATATTATTTACTTGTCTCTGTCCTATCTCCTCCAGTGAGCAAGTACACACATGTTTAATGGGGAGAGGAAGAAGAAAGGAGAAATTAACATAACAACATAAGAAATGCCATACCTTCTCCCACCATGGTCTACCTCATCAGTATTGGTTTGGCATTGCTCTACTCACTATAAATCTGACAATGGAGTATGCCTCTGCTCTTCCTCTCATTTTCACAAAAGGTTTAAGCATTTTTCCATGGGGCCTCTACTGTATCCATTTTTCAATCCAGAAACATAAACTGTTTTCAGTCTTTAAGACAGTTAACTGTTTATCATAAAACAACCCCACCCCTACACATACACATTCTGAGATCTTGTTAAGAGTCATCATACACACAAGAGATCAAAAGTTTTTTTAAAACTCTAAACACAACATCTTATTTTTTATGAGAAACTTGACAAACATTCTATAACTTATGTGGAAGACTAAAAGTCCACTAAATTAACTTTGAAAAAGTAGAAAGAGGAAACTTGGCCCACCAAATATCATGATATACTACAAAACCATATCATAAAATAAGGAAAATTTTTATAAAATATAGAATGTCTTTATTACTTAGAACAGAGAGTCTTCTTAAGACTCAAAAAGTCCAACCTATAATGTTAAAAAAAAAAAAAACAAAGATGAATGTGATCACACAAAATCTAAGGATTTCTGTTAAATGAAAGTCACCATAGACAAAAGTTATGAAAGATTATGGAATGGAGGAAGATTTTGCAATGTCTAAAATTGAAAGGGACTAACATCTATAATGGACAAAGAATTCCTACAAATTAATCAAAAAATCAAATAGAAAAATGGGCAAAAGATACGAATAGGCAAGTTGACGGAGGGGAAAACTGAATAATCAACAAGTATATGAAGAGATGCTCAAACTCATTAGCTATCAGAGAGACGTGAGTGAAATGGCCAAAAGTCTCGAGTAAGAGATATTATTCAAATAACTATATGATACCCCTAGGAGAGAGATAGGTCGTATTTTATAGCAACAGTGAAAATGTTTCAGTCACAGTTCCAGTAGTTTCATGAACATTTCTAACAGTCCCATTTATCAGAACCCTACAATCAAGAGGGTCACTAGCTCACCTCCGAAAAATTTCCTTCTGAGTTATGAATTTAGTATTCTCCCTCCTCCTTGAGCTGAACATCCTCATTCTGTTACAGCATAGCTACTGTTCTATCCTTATTACTCATTCTCGTTTCTCCACTTCCTACCTCACACCTCACATGTTTTTATGAGTGTATTTGTCCACAAATTATAACCTGGGTTGACCTTAGAAACCTAGAGCTCATTATAAAGCTAAAATTATATTCAGTTCTTGTGCTAAACTCGTTTTTTTTTCAATGAAAATCCACCAACATCAAAATCACTTGAGATTCCCACTCCACCTCTCAGCCTACTGAGTACCTGCTAATCTATGTTAACACAATGATTCTATGTACACTGGAGTTTGTAGAACTGTTCTAACCCTGAAGTGGAAAATAAAAGTTCAACGTCGTTTTAAATAGTTCTCTAGGTTTCCTTATTCCTCTCTCAGGACTTGAACTTTCTTTGGCTGAGCAGAGCAGGTGCTCAATATTTATTGAACAACAACTTTATATCATGCAAAACTTCCATACGGCCCTGTTGGAGTATGCTCCACCAAACTACAAAATTTAGTTACTTCGACTTGAAGAGTGTGTTTCGGGCGCACGAGGGCGGGGGTGCTTTGCGGATTTTGAAGGTCTGTTGCCTGGGGAGGAAAGGGTGTAGGTGGGGAAGGAACGCAGCCAAAAAACGTGGGACCTCAGGGCTACTCCACATGTTCTGCGGTGACGCCCGGGGAAACCCGGCCGGGCGTCTCCAGGCCCCGAGGAGAATCACCCGAGGGATTAGGAGGCCACAGCACGAGTCAACAAACAACGGAACCGCGGAGACCCGGACGTAGCGTTACCGGATGGCGTCTGCTCTTGGAGCGCGGGTGACATGCTGCGGAGTCTCCTCCTCCTCGGGTCGGGAACGCGGCGGGGAAGACACGCTCTCCACAGCTCACGGCCAAGAGCGAAGCCAGCCAGCGCCGGGCGAGCCTGCCACACAGGCCGAGGGCCACTTGCCCCTCCCGGAGGCCCAGGTCGCTGGGGCCTCGCTCGGGAACAGGGCGCGGCCCCGCGATGACAGCGGATCCGTGGCCGCTACAGCTGCTCAAGCACGTGCTTTCTTCCCGGTCCCTCAGCCTGTCCTCCGCGCACGCCTGGCGGCCAGACACGCACGGCCAGAGCCCGTGTCTCTGGGAGGGCGCAGAAGTGGCCCCGAAGAAGAGGACCACGTGGCTACCAGGGCGCCAGGTAAGGCTCTGAGTCCCCTGGGGTCTTGGGACAACTTAGAATGCTATTAGTTTCTGCGCTCAATCTAGCCTCTGCGCGGGAGGTCCCGCCCCTTCCGGCCTGTGATTGGGCTGCACGAGCTCGTCGCGGCTGTATTGGCTGATCGATCTCAACCAATCACCTGAGATTTCGCCCCAGGGCTCTCTGGGAGACGTAGTCCAGGGTCCCAGGTTTCCCGGGGAGGCTTTGCGTATCCCTACGCTTAGGATCCGTTAAGTGCTGTTCGAATGCCCTCTTGAAGTGTAAGTCGTGGTGCGAAGTTGGCGCTGGCCTCAGCTTGTGTGGTGTCAAGAGCCTGAAATATGAGTCAGAAGAGCAGGTTCTATGCACATTTTGCTGTTGACTGACGCTGGGCAAGATGCTTAACCTCTTAGTGTCCACTCTAAACTGTATAAAACAGGAAATGATACCGTGGTAGTAATTACTATTTTATAAGGTTGTAATAGGGATTAAATGAGATCGTGTGAAGGCTGTGAAAACTCTGAAGTACACGTGTGCACGTTAATTGTCACTTATTGACAGTAAACATTTATTGAGCACCTACTGTGTGTCAGGCATTGGGTTACGCACTTGGAATGCAAAGATAGACAAGCCACGTCACACCCCCACCTCTGTCTAGGAGGGGAACTCACATCCTAGTTGACTAATAATTAAACGGGGGGGGGGGGGGACCACATGCTGTGTGCCAAAAGAGCTGCAACACCCCAGCTCCAAGGGTGTTGGGGGGAAAGCTTCAAAGAACAAGATGGGTCTTGAAGGAAGAGTATGGCAGGTAAGGCCTTGGGAGAAACTCCCTGGGTAGAACACAGCTCTTGAGAGAATTTGAACATAAAGAACAGCTCTGTAAGGCTGAGCGTGGTAGATGAGAGGAAAAACAAATGAATCTAGAAAAATAAAATGAAGACCAAATTATGAAATTTACTAAGCTTTAAAAAAAAAAAAAGCACAAATTTGCATGCCATTCTCATTTTCCTGTGTTTAATTATACCTCAATTTTTAAAATCTAGATAGTTATAATTGTATAGCATCCTTACCAAAGATGGTCATATTTGGAGAGGGGGAAATGGAGTGAGTGGGGAGAGAATGAAGCAAAGAAGGTAGCAGGGATGAGATGGCCCTGAATAGCTGAAGATCTTGTTAAGATTGTAAGGGCTAGAGTTTTTTTGTGTGTGTTTTTGTTTTTGTTTTTTGGTGAGGAAGATTGGCCCTGAGCTAACATCTGTTGCCAATCTTCCTCTTTTTTGCTTCAGGAAGGTCGCTGAACTAACATCTGTGCCAATCTTCCTCTATTTTTCGTATGTGAGATGTTGACACAGCATGGCTTGAGGGGCGGTGGTGCATAGGTCCGCTCCTGGGATCCGAACCCCTGAACCTCGGGCCGCCGAAGCAGAGTGTGTGAACTTAACCACTACGCCACCAGGCTGGCCCCTGTAAGAGCTAGTTTTTAAGTTATCACCTATCTCACAAAGTTTGTTGATGTGTCTCTTAAAAAATAATCTTTCAGGGCCGGCTCCGTGGCTTAGCGGTTAAGTGCGCGCGCTCTGATGCTGGCGGCCCGGGTTCGGATCCCGGGAGCGCCCCGAGGCACCACTTCTCCGT